TCTTCAGCTTCCATAAGTAGTTTTTATGCATGTCACATTTGGGGGACTGATGCAATAGATTGGGGTTGCAGTTGGCTGGGTCCCCTTCAGAGAGATTGTGACAATTTATTTGATGTGTTTTTTTGACTGGTGTGTGTGTGTGTGTGTGTGTGTGTGTGTGTGTGTAAGGATGCTCCAATTGTTAGTAATCATTATTCCTTGGTCATCTGTGAGAATATCTGCAAAAGCGACTAGCACTTGAATTGGGAGGCTAAATGAAGAAGAGACCCTCCAGGGGGAGCGGGTATCATGCAATCTGTCAAGGGCCCCTGCAGAACGAAGGGTGTGCCCAGGAGCGCCTGCTCTCTGTCTGGGTCCTCCAGCGGCTGCACTTCTAGTTGGGACTTGAATACTGGCTTTCCTGGCTCTTCGGCTTGCAGATTACAGGTCACAAGACTTCTCAGCTTCTGTTATCACATGAGCCAACCCCTCTCAATGAACTTCTTTATCTACACATATATCCTGTTTGTCGACAGGAGCAGAGGGAGCCCCGTGCTGCTGCCCTGAGCAATCAGCCTGAGGAGTTCTTCCAGGGACCTGCACTCAGAAGACTGTTCTGCACTCACAGAAAACTCTTTCAGGATGGGTCACTATAGAACAGAGAGGCGTTTGTTAGCATGGATGGATAGAATGGCCCTTAGGAAAAGGGCCGTCTATGTGCAGGAGTGAGTCTGAGCTTATTAAAGATAGACACATTTAAGTCAAAATACAATTTCAGTGACAGTTTTGTTTTGGTTTGGTTTGGGGTTTTGTTGTTGTTGTTGTTGTTGTTGTTGTTGTTGTTTTTCTTTCAAGACAGGATTTCTCTGCATTGCTCTGGTTATCCTGGAACTCACTCTGCAGACAAATCTGGCCTCGAACTCACAGAGATCCACCTGCCCCTGCCTCCCGAGTGCTGGGATTCAATTCAAGTGCCACCACCACCCAACTCAATTTCAGTTGTTTTTAAAAAATTGTTCATTGTGTGTGTGAGTATTTTGCCTGAAAGTACATATGTGCATGGTGTATATGCCTGATGCTCATGAAAGCCGGGAGAGGGGTCAGATCGCCTGACACTAGAGTTACAGAGAGCTGAGAGCTTCTACGCAGATGCTGGGAGCCAAATCCTGGTCCTCTGCACAGCAGCCAACATCTTGACTGCTGACCCATTTCTCCAACCTCCAGTTTTGGTGACTTCTGAAACACATGCTTGCTCTCTCTCTCTCTCTCTCTCTCTCTCTCTCTCTCTCTCTCTCTCTCTCTCATACACACCCTTTTCTTTTAGTAAATGAAATGATGAACTGGTTCCTATGGAAGACAGCTAGTGGGAACAGGTTCCCTCCTCCCACCACGTGTGTTCCTGGGGTGGAACTCAAGTCCTCAGGTTTGAAGCATGTGCCATTATCTTCTGAGCTGCCCCACTGGGCCAACACCTGGATTTTAATGTTCAATTTATAACTTGATTTAGCAGATTGTCAGAAAATTGCAAAGTTACACAGTAAACAATAAAGGTCTTTTACCCTTGGCCCTTAATCATGGTGCATTGCTATTTTGTCTCCTGCAACTGTGTTCTTTCTTCCAAATTGACTCCTTTATTTTGGAAAGTGTTACCCCAAATAAATGATCTAACCACATTGCTCCTTCAGTGCCAATATTCTTGAAAGTGCGGCTAGTCTGTCCATCACAGATAATTCCTGGGGTATGTTTCTCTAAAAGGCGGTAACTGTGGTCCAAGAGGCCTTTTTGACATTTTTAATAGGTCTTAGGAAAGGATCTTCCTTTCTTGAAATAATTACTGGCAACTGGGGCTAGCAAGACAGGGAGGCATTTTATCCCTTATCTCTCACTGTGAATGAAACTGGCTGGGATTACAGGTAGCACATATCAGAGGAAAATGCCTCCTTGATAGGGCTCTGAATGTGCTGTTTCTCCCCCTGGAAGGAAAGGAGTGAAGGGGAAGGGAGGGAAAGGGAGGGCAGGGAGGGTAGAGGAGAGAATGGGAGGGGAGGAAGGAAAGGGAAGGGGAGGGGAGGGGAAGGGAGGGCAGGGAGGGTAGAGGAGAGGATGGGAGGGGAGGGAAGGAAGGAAAGGGGAGGGGAGGGGAAGGGAGGGCAGGGAGGGGAGAGGAGAGGATGGGAGGGAAGGAAGGGAAGGGAAGGGGAGGGGAAGGGAGGGCAGGGAGGGGAGAGGAGAGGATAGGTGTCAGGTGAGAAGTCAACAGGTACACGTGTTAGTTCACCTTCTCACTCGTCAGAACAGACATTAACTGAGGTGCTGCGAGGCCTGACGTCTTGTCTAAGAGCAACTGGTAGGTTTCCAGTGAGCTGGGCTGATTTAAATCCACTGTACTCCCTGTGTGGATCCTGAGATAAGAACAAGGCACCTCTGGAAGCCTGGCCACATCTGGGCTTGTCGGCGCATGGGAAGCAGAGCCACATGAGGATGCAAAGTCAGTTGCTTAGGCGTCCTGCGCGGCTTCCCCTTTCCTTTGACCTTTAAAAGTACTTAGGAAGGTCAAGTGTGGTGCACACCTTTAATCCCAGCACTTGGAAGCCAGAGGCAGGTGAATTTCTAATTTCAGGCCAATCAGGATGACACATTGTCTCAAACTAACAGTGCTTGGGACGTTAGATTTTGGATGAGAAAGTGCACTTCACTTGGTTGTCTCTTAAGAGAAAAGGAAGGCCTGGGGTGTTGGCCCTGATGGCTGAGTGTCTGCCTAGCATATGCAAAGCTTCCACTCTGCTCTAACCACCGTACAGTGGAGACGTGGTGGAGAGTACCTCTACCTAAAACACTCAGGAGGCCCAGCCAAGAGGATCAGAAGTTCAAGGTCATTCTCAGCTACATAGCGAGTTCAAGGCTATACATGAGACTTTATCTTAAAACAGAAAAAAAGTTTTTTAACAGGACTTTTGTATCTTTGCCTCAGCATCTTCCTCTCCCAGATAATTATCTTCTCCAGAGGAAAGGGTTTTTTGTTGTTGTTGTTTTTGTTTTTTGTGACTGAATTCATATTAAATAAGTAGTAGTATTTCAAAACTGTGTTGATAAGAACGTTGTATTCAGGAAGGCTAGGAGGAAGGTCCAAACTACTATCTGATTTTTAGTTCTCACTTCTTTCCACAGAAACTTGATGTTTCCCAACACAGCTTTCATTCAGTGGTTGGCCACCAAGTGCTTCATCTTTTAAAAACTACTCAAAATTATTTCCCCATTATTTTAGGCCATGTTGTTACAAAGCCTATGGGGTTAGGAGCGATGAAGAGGTGGCTCAGTGGTTACAAGCACTAGGTTTGACCCCCACATCTGCAAAGCAGCCATAACCACCATCTGTTGCTAAGGTTCCAGGGAATCCAAAGGCTCCATGAGTACCAGGCATGTACATGGTACCCAGCTATACATGCAGACAAACCATTTACACACATAAAATAAATCATAAAAACCACAAACGACCTACAAAAATAGGCACTTTGGAAAATTAAGACAAGGCCCAGAAAGGCAGATGAACTCTCTTCCTGTCTTTAGCTCACATAATACAGGTGTTTATTTGTCCTTAGAAAACAAAAGCAAACAAGCTTGTCCATAGACTTCTTTTCCTAAGGGTTGGGTCAAGGCTTCTCCACTCCATGGCAACAGCAACAAATTACATTGGTGATGATGAGGTCAGCAATTCGTGATGATTGATTTAGAATTGTGGGTTACAAATAAGGTCTTTCAGTGTGGCACTTAGGTTTTAGTAAGAATAATAATGTGTCTTACGAAAATAATTTGGAGGTTCATAGTGATTGCATAAGCTCACCACCCTTGCTCTCACAGCGTGTGTCCTCGAGAGAAAACAAATAACTCGTCGGGTGTCGTTAGACCAGCCAGATGCTTGCTACAATCACGCGGCTTCTTGTGTCCCATCAGAAGATCTTTTCCAACTAAGTTGTTAATTTTTTTGTCTCTTCCTCCACCTCCTGCTCTTCATCCTCCTTCCATTTCTGGGAGGAACTCAGATTACCGCTCATGCCAGGCAAGTGTTCTACCACTGAGCTACAGCCCCAACCCCTCAAACGCCTATCTTTAGTTTATTTAGTTGTCCCGGGTCAAAGATTTATGGTAAGAGATTGCATACTGTGCACAATACAGATTCCAACGACAGAACAAATGACTCAAGGCAAATTACACACCATGACCACAGATGAGCACAGTTTAAAATAAATAAAATATCAACATGTCAGATGTGACCTCACCAACCCAGGGTCTTGGTATCGTGAATGTGTATGAGCTTTGCCGTGATCCCTTTCCGAAAACTGGGCTCTTTCCGTCGTGGACTGTAGTCGTGAGGTTTAAGCCAAGTGTGCAGCAGGAGAGCTGTCTCGGTCTTTTCTCAGACAGGAAACCACCGGCAATTCAGTGTGAAGTCACCTTCTATTTTTAAAGTAATTGGACTTGAGACATAACTATTAGTGTGACAGCTTCCCAGGGCAAAAGAGATGACTAAGGGGCGGTGAAACCTAGGCTAATGGAGCAATACTTTTGAAAATTACATACATTTGTGCTCGTCTTCTATCACTTCCGGTTTCGTCCATCACACTGGCTTCTGCCTTTTTCCTCGAGAGATGTCTGCTGCTTATTTGCGTCTAACGAAAGTCACGTGCAGCGACCACCCCTTGAGACGGGGGAGTGCCGCAACACTCCTGGCTTCCATGCGCTGGGTTTCTAGCACAAAAAAAATGGCTGACTCAAAGTGTTAGCATTTTTTGCTGAGCCTGTAACCCAGATGCACAGAGGCCAGGCAGAGGCTTTCAGTCCCTCTGAACCAGACTGTGCAAACAATTCAACAGTCCTGACCTCTGAATACTAGCGGCTTCATGAAAAATGTTAGGCGAAGCCAGACGGTCTCTCATTGTGCTTTTGTAGTTAATTAATTATTAATTTCGTATTTAATTAATTATTAATTTTCCTGAGTGGGTCTTTGCGTGTTGCACAGGTTGCTTTTGCAACCCTAGCTCAAGCAATCGTCTCGCCCCTGTTTCTGCAGCGCCTGGTGTAGCTGAGCCTACAGGTACAGTCACAACAAACATTTACATGCTTTTTCAATGTCCTGTATTCACTGTTCAGCAACTAGCTTTATGGTGAGCGAAGTGGAAATTCATGAGGAAAAAATCTGAAGTAAAGAATGTCTTTGTAAGGTAGGCATGGCCGGTCATGCCTGTGATCTCAGCACGGGAGGCTGAGGCAGAAAGTGTCAGTCGGTGATGGAGCACAGGAAGGTTTGCAAAGTTAAGGCCAGCCTAGGGTGAATCAGGAATGCCACCTTAACCTGGCCACACAGGGAGCTCCTGTTTCAATCACCAAAGACTTGGGGTGGGTAAGATGGCTCCGTGGGTAAAGGCACTTGCTGTCAAGCCTACTGACCTGACTTCAATCCCTGGGACACACACAGCGGAAGGAGAGAATCAACTTTTGCAAGTTGTCCTCTGAGCACCGTGTTCAGGCCTTAGCCTCCTTGGGGGTTCCCCCATGCCAACAAACAATGTGATATTTTGCATGTTCCTGATTGCTAAGGATGTTGAAGCATTTACTGGCCATTTATATTTCTTCTTCTGAGAATGGCCTATTCAGTTCCATAGGTTATATACTGATCAAATGATTTGGGTTTTAAGTGTTTAAAATGTGCAGTTCTTTATAATATACATGTGTGTATATACACACTCCACAGACACACACAGAGAAATACAGACACACACACACACACACACACACACACACACACACACACTATTTCTCCCCCGAGAAGTAGCTGGCAGATTCCCACCCCCACCCCATCCTGTAGGCTGCCTCTTCTCCGCGGCGATGATTTCTGTCAGTATACAGATGCTCTTCAATGTCATGCGATCCTATTTGTGAATTCTTAAGATTATTTCCTGGTGCTACTGGCGTTCTCTCCAGAAACTTCTTGCCTATATCTTTAAGTATTTTGCCTATGTCCTTGTAGTTTCAACATTTGATCAAAGTCTTTAATTTCTTTTTGACTGATTTTATATGCTACAAATCCAACTTTATTCTTCTACCTGTAAATATGGAGTTTCCCCAGCATCATGATTGAAGAAACTGTCTTTTCTCGGATGCATGTCTTTTACACAGTCTTTGCCAAAACAATGCCTGGCTGTAGCTATGTGAGTAGACAGCTAGGCTTTTTATTCTGTTCACTTGCTCTGTCAGAAATTTTTATTACTATGGCTCTGTAATAAAATTTGATATCAGATATTTAAGCCCTGTCTCTTAAAAGTCCCATTGCCTCCCAACTGTACCACTCTACGAACCAGGCCTTTCACTTGGACATTTTCCGGACGTTCAAGATTTAAATGTCAGCATCATGTTAAGATCCCACAGGAGCAGAAGCTGGTTGTAACTGGGATTCTAGACACAAGCTCGGTTTGCAGAGGATAAAGCATCAAGTGAGACGACGTAACAAGGAAGCAGCTGTCAAGCCTAGAGTGTGAGAAGCTTGCGGTGGATAGCCAAGCCCGTTTCTGCAACAATTAAGGAGTAGGAGAAAGGAGAGGAGGCCTAAAGCCCTGGAAAGACACAGAAGTGGCCAGAGTGAGCCGTGCACCACGTGCAGGCATCTTTGACTACACTCCTTCTCACAGTCAGCTGTGAGAAATTGTGTGTCGTGTGTTTGTTTGTATGTATATGTAAGTATATGGCATGCATGTGGAGGTCAAAGATCCATGTAAGGAACCTTCCTCTAGCTCTCTCCACCTTAGTTTGTCCATGTGTGTGAGTGTGTGTGTGTTCAAGCGTCTATGTAAATATGGGCACATACGTGCCGTGGCACTCAGGTGGAGGTCAGAAAGAACCCCTGGTGCCTGTCTCGCCGTTCCCCGCTTTGGATCCTGGGTCTCTGCTGCTTTTCCATTGCGTAGGATAGTTGACCCACTTGGCTAGCTGGCCTTCTAGTTTCCAGGATTTCTCTGGCTCCAGTCTCGGTTGCCCCATAAGAACACCGTGGGTAGAGATGCTCAAGAAATATGTGGTGGTAGTCTGAACGTAACTGGCCACCAGAGGGAGTGAAACTATTGGGCGTGGCCTTTGGTGGCATAGGCGTGGCATTGTTGGAGAAAGGGTGTCTCGGTTCACTTCCGACTGTCTGTGGATCCAAACATAGAATTCTCAGCTCCTTCTCCAGCACCATGTCTGCCTGCATGTTGCCATGGCAATAATGGACTAACCCTTTGAAACTGTAAGCCAGTCCCATTAGAAAGTTTTCCTTTCTAAGAGTTGCTGTGATCATGGTGTCTCTTCACCTCAATAGAAACCCAGATGAAGACATGGGTTCTGGGAACTGAAATTCCAGTCCTCACCTTCCACAGTCAGCTCTTCTGCTCACTAAGCCATCTCTCCAGCCCTGCCTTCTTTTCTGAGACAGTGTCTCTCATGGAATCTGGAGTTCGCGGACTGACTTGACTGGCTGTCTGGCGAGCTCCAGAGATCCCTGTGTCTCTACCCCCTCCACCAGTGCTGGGTTGACATATGGCCGCCCCCACCAGCGTGCTGGGGACCTGAACTCAAGTCTTCATGCTTGCTCGGCAAGTTCTTTACCCACTGAGCCATCTCTCCAGCCCCTAAAAATCCAATTAGCGACAACCAGAAAAACTTAATTATGGAGTAGTGATTGTGCAATGTCAAGGGATAACTGTCAGTTGTATTAGCTGATGCACTAATCTGTGGTGATGGAAGAGTAATTTGATAATTTTTAGGGAGGAAAAATGATATATGTGAATGATGCATCTGCATTTTTCTCTAAAACAGTTTGGTAGAAGAAACCAATGAATTGATTAATTGTGGCAAAATTCTGGTAGCCACTGACTCTGGGTGATAGGTAAGAGTCCATTGACATAAGTTTTATATGTAATAAAAATTTCAAAAGCTAAAGTGAAAGATTTATACATCTTTTCAAAATAACTAAAATTGCTGGTTTTTTAGTATTGATGAGTTTAGATACATTATTCATCATATTAGACATAAATCCCTAAAGCTTATGTCATTAGTTAGAGTTATGTATTTGTTTGTATCACATCTGCTAATTCTGCTTTTCATAAATATAAGAAATTATTAGAAAGAGGAGTTCATTTAGAAGATTATTTTGGCTGATGCTTCTTATAAACTGTACTGGCTGCATTTCTGTTGCTTTGTTCTGTTTTCCCTTGGTGCATGCATCTCCAGAGTGGGCAAGGCTATGATACCTGCTTCTGGGTGCTGCTGTTGTTTGTTTGCTTGCTTATTTTACATGTTGTTTGGGTCTCAGGCAGGTTCTGAAAATATGAGCCTGTTACTCTGTTAACAATTTAAGTGGACAAGGTGGCCTCAAACCCATGGGATCAGGGAATCCTCCTACCTAACTCTGACTTAGTGGCAAAACTATAGGGTAAAAAAATCAGCAATTGCTATGGATGTAAGGGGAGAATAGAAGGAGTGAGTAAGTGAGGCAGGGGGATTTTTTTAGAGGACTGTAAGGAGGAGGTGAATAGACACAATGATGTAAGTGTCTGGAGTGTAGTGCAGAGATAAAACCCTAAAAATGGAGTGTTGTGCTATACCATGAATGTAAGGTAATGATAAGAAGGGAAATATAAAGCCACAACCCAGAACCAGGCAGACAGAAACCTTCTGATGCAGTCGTGATGACCTTCTCCTCCACCAGACCCTGAAGCAAGAACTGCTTTACCTTGTCTCAGCTGCTCAAGGATCTCACAGAGCAATGCAGAGGAAGTCGTCCAAGCCGGATCACTGCATCGTGACAGGTATATATACGGGGCAGTCGATGTCCTTCATGACAACGGTATCCGGACCCTACTGATGTGTATGTGTGTGTGTGCTGATTTCATGTTGAATGAATGAATTAGCCACACTCGTGTATGGAAACCTAATTCCTCCCTCTCGACTGAGAGGTAAGCGCTCGCGACAAGGACTGAAACCATTCTGTGTGAGTCTATGCAGTGGGTATGTCCTTAAAGAATTCATCAAAAACCTGTAAAATTTATAGCACAGAGGGACAATTGAATGTATGACAATAAAAAATAATTTACTTAGGCAGTGCAAAGAGGAAGATTCTAGCCGGTATTCAGATGGTGACAAAAATAAGAAAACTTCGAAACCCTGTGTGACAAATGCTGGGGAGACTTCAGCAAGGGGGCTGGAGGATAAAGGACCCTGACTCTAGTGTCTGGAAATGGGGAGCATTTATCAGGACAGAGCCCAAGGGGCTGCAAGGATGGGCAGAACGGACCACACTCGGTTGGTGAAACTTTGCCCACAGGACTTCCTGTTAATAACTGATGCTGCATCCCGGCCTTGAATCAAATGGCAGTGGGGAGGGGAACGTTTCTCACACTGGAGGTGAGATGCAGAGATAAGGAAAAGGAAGGGGCCAGAATGACCCCAGGAAGAGGACGATAGTTAGACACAAGATTAAAACTCTTCTTGAGGACTAGAAACAGCTCCCATGTGACTAAGGGAAGGAGGGAGAGTCAGGATAAGAAAATAGAGGTTTCCTTTCGGGTTGAGCATGCCACAAAGATAATTCTCTTCTCCTTGAACAGGTAAGGGTCTCTGTGTCAATTACCCAACCTAGAGGAGGGAAGGTGGGCGTGAAATCCCTCGGCTAGCTAGGACTCTTGACATTTGCTAGCTGCTGGGAGAGAGTTAGTTTTTAGCTTTTGTTTTCTTTTGTTTTGAGTGATGTGACCCCTGGTAGGTCAACCACATGCCAGGACAGAACCTGCTCCCAAAACTCGCTGGGGAACACCAACTGGACTTGTTGGGGGAAAGCAAGCAGAAAGGAAGAAATGTCAGAGTTGGGTGGGAAGAGATTAGAGAGCAGAGGAAGAAATTGCACGGGGTGATTGTGCTCAAAATGCATTGTAGAAAACTCTCGAAGAGTTAATAGAAATAGCATTAGGAAAAGAAAATATGGGCTCTGCTACAAAGAGAAAAAGAAAGGAAGAGCTTCAAAGCTTCACAAAGTAGTGACAGGCCAGTGGGAGGGACAGAGAAGAAGGGAAGTAAGCCAGCTCACCCTGGCGCCTGCCGCTGCTCTGTGGGGAGGGGGCAGATAGGCAGAAGCCTATGAGAAAGGTAAACCTTGTGGCCCTGGTGGAAAGTGACTAGCAGTTCCTCCAACAAACTCCTCAAAGGCCTCAAACTCTATTGTAGGTTTTGCCGAGACAGTGATTCCTCTGGGGTGGTCATCTGAGTTCTACTTTGTCCCTCTGTAGAACCCAGAGGGCTCTGGCTGGGCACCATGTTGGAAGGGAACAGTGTTTAAAACTGAGCTGATATAGGGACCTGAGAACAGAGAACAGTCATAAATCAAAGACCCTGAAATAAGTAAGCCATGAACCCAGGGTAAGAGACAGCCCTGGGAAGCAGCTGTAGACTCCAAGAAGGCTAAACAAGTCAGGATTGTGAGTTCGAAGCCAGCCTGGACTATACAGTGAGAGCCTGTCTCAAATACACTCACTCGTCTTGAGCTTAATATAGACACAGATTGTTGACTACACCCAGGATTATCTAGTCATGCTTATGCAAGTTAGCATATATACACATATTTCCTTGTTCTGCTGAAATTATCTAAAAGAAACTACCCTCTAACAGCAATGATCATGTCTGGCACCTGACGAAAAAAACCCAAAGCTGCTTCGAGAACAGTCAGTTTTAGGAGTGGAGCAGGAGGGAAAAGAAACAAATACAAGTCAACCAACCACATCCACGTTGATGCTTTGCAAGGTGGGCACAGCAGACAGCAGAAAGAGCGCAATGGCTAACGGTGAAACGACCGGCAACGACATGAACCGATTAGCACTGGAGCAGAGCCCACAGAATAAAATGAATCGTCATGAATTTATACTGATATAAATGAGTGAATCAGTGAAAAGGTGTTGACGAGAAGACAGCCCTCTCTCTTATGCAGGCGTGGTGCAGATGATGCACGGAGAAGTTTCAGCCGCAAGGAAAAGTAGAGGCTGCACGGTAGCGGGAGGAGAGAAAAATAATGACGTTGCCATGGAGACACCTGCCAGCTTCCACTGCAGCTGGCTAGCCAGGTGTCAGCAGCCGCAGGCCAAGTCATGTTGATACTGAGTTTTTGTGCAACATGATGCAAATGTCACTTTACCTCTGTGGCTTCCCCAATGCAATAACCCTAATTTAACCCCAGACATACACACACAAACCCTTTCAGACAGATTCAAAGTAAGGGACAGCTTTACCACACACCACACACACTCATACGAGAGAGAAGAGAGAGAGAGAGAGAGAGAGAGAGAGAGAGAGAGAGAAAACTGTATTGCTGTATGTACTCTTTAAAATGACAAGGTCTGAAAGCAAGAAGACATTCATGAGTTATCACAGCCCATTGACTCCTGGAAGGCGGGGCAGCTGAAAGCAATGTGGCGGACAAACTTCTGGAATAGAAAAGGACATTGGGCAGCACTAGCAAATCTGAAGGAAGTGTGTATTCTAACTAACACTGTAGCTAATAATAATGCATTGTTATTATCCCATGAACTGCAACAAGTCACCCTGCTAACAAGAACTGAGGAGAGCTGAGGTTAAAAGCCCATGCTTAGTGTTCAGAAGGCCCTGGATTCCGCGCTCAGCACCAAATGGTAGAATAATTGAGGAAGCCGTGGTGGGGACATAGAAATGTTCTGGACTTCATAATTTCCTGCGAAACAGACACAACTACTACCCACCCACCCACCCCCCTTTTAAAGACGAATTGAGACAATTCTAGGAGAGGTTTCAGAGGCAGAAAGGAACACCCCAAACCAATCTTCCACCCACTGCTTTCCCAAGGCTTCTGACTTGGGCTCTAAAGCGCCCCCCAGCCTCCACGTGGATTCCTGGCTCTTTCAGAGTCTGTCCACAGCAGTCAAGAGTTAGTTTGGACAGGCCTTGTCTTTCAGCTTGGTTTGTCACTTCTGGAATTACCTGGGCAGTCTGTGGGGTCTTGCGCCCATCCTAAGTCAGCTGTTCTGTGAAGGGAGAGGAGGCGCGACTAGCTTAGTTTCGTCCCTGTGCTGCATCTGCCGTGAAGCCAGCCAGGGGTGAAGGAAGCCCTCTTCTTCGCAAACTCAGATAGGGAAAGGTGGCTCTGTCAGCGCCAAGAGACTTACAAGACAGGTGGCTGAGCCAGATGACGGAAAGACTCGCTAGTGCTCACAGTGAACAGGCAGCGAACTGATTTCCGCAAGGCTGTTAGATGTGCTTGTAGTTTGAAATATAGATGAAATAAGATGAAAATTTGTTTTATGTTATAAGGACTTGACCCAACTGGTCATGTCTTATTTTTTTGAATTGGATTGTAACCGTACATGCACACACACACACACACACACACACACACACACACACACACACACTGCCCAAATCACTGTTAAGCATAAGTGTAAGCTGAAAGAATAAAATGAAATCCAACTATTTTATGAGGTTTAACATACATCTTCTTTAAGAAAAAGTGTTTTTTTTTCCTCAGTGCAGTGGTGCACACCTTTAATTCCATCACTCAGATAGACAAAAGTGGCTCCCTATGAATTCAAGACCCGCCTGGTTTACATAAGAAGTGTGAGGCCAGTCAGGGCTACATAGCGAGGCTCTGTCTCAACAAACAAAATGACAGGAAGAATAGAATAACACTTAGAATTTTAAGACATTTATTTAAAAAGTAGTCTAACTTTGCTCAAATTCTTATCCATGAAATATGTTCAATTTTAAAAGCTGCAATAAATCTAAATCACTACTAGTGAGAAGTGTGACCAAGACACTTCTTACTAGCATCAATCCATTTCCCTCCCACGAATCATGAGTTTATGCTAATGGAAAGCTCCCTTTGTCAAAGCTAGCTTTGGCAGACTGACAGTGACTGTAAAGACCTGTGGACAGTACAGGTGTCCACGACGGGACCCGCGCATAAGACAACAACAATCACGTGCTTATTTCACTGTCGAACTCCTTACGTGAGGACAAAAACGGCTTAGATCCCTGAGAAAGTGAACCCACGCTCTCGGCTCACCTGTGACGACCATGCGCTTTCCCACGGCCTCAGAGAGCGGCTCCCGGTACGAGACAGACATGCTGACCTTTAAGCCTCTTTGCTGCACTTACTGCCCGAATGTCCTCAGAACAGTGAATGTACCAGGAAGTAGCAAGGACGGGGTCTCTGCTCTCCCGGTCTGTGACCTAGGCTGGCTGGTTACTATGGATGCTTTATGACAGGAGGAGCAGATATCCCTTCTGCCAGAGCTCTGTACTCCAGTGCCCGAGAACAGACATAACTGGAGGATTCCCCAGAGCTGCACCCCACCACCACTGTCCCTTGTCTGCCCATATCAACCAGAAGCATCTTGTCCATGATGTCCTAGAACAGCCCAGCCGGCTGTCTCCAGTATCTTTCAGCATTTCTGGAGAATGTTCTACAGGGACAAATTGGGGGTGTGGGGGGGAGAAAGAAAAATGCAAAACATGGTTAAACACATCTGAAAGACACTCGCAAGAAAAGATAAAGCCCGCCCTGAGACAGCTAGACTACAACAGACGCGCACCAGAACGGTTACACCGAGAGCTTTCCATTTCTGCTACACAGGGCTTCCAAACAGAGCTGATTCCATTCCCTAGTGTGGAAGAATGGGTCAAACCTTTCTCATTTTCCTGGCCTTCAGTGTCTGTCATTTGACTCAGGCCTGTATTTACTCTTCTTTGCTGCCATGCTGGTTCACTGTTGCAGGATTTTCTCTACTAGGAG